CCCAGAGGGCTATGCTGTTCTGTAGTCAAGGTCTGCATGCCATGGGACATGGGAACATACTCAACAAGCTCTCTTTCGGTGAGCCGTCTGTTTGTATTTGAGTGAATAGTCAATCTCAAAACATTACCCCACTCTCAACCGAGATCGTCAGGTGTCATTGTTGCTGCACTGTAAAGTTATGTCTGCTGTGACGACTGGGAAGGTTGTAGATCTTCCAGGAGCTTATTTTGTTCTGAGTGTGCACCTGTAGCATGTTTATGAGTGTACATCATCCTGTACTGGTGTAGTCTGTCTTGAGATGTTGATGGGAGTGTTTAAAATTGCTCTTCTCACACTCACAATGCTGTGCTACGTGGTCATGAAAACTTATAGTTTGATTATTTTATACAGTGTATGTAGCATTTCTGATTTATTTGTTCTTCTGTATTTTTTTGTCCTATTAATTGGAATTTAATCGCTGCTGTTTACTTGACAAGAATTAGCTATAAAATTTCTATAGTATCAAAAAATGTTGGTATCATAAAGACCTTATTTAAAGCAAAATTACCTATATTGTGAGATACCGTAAAATAAAATTACTCCTATCTCAGCATAAATCTGTTAATTGTGAAAAATGCAATTTGTTAAAAATGGAATATGATTCAAATATGCTGTAAAATTTGCGAAATTCACTTAGTTAAAATGTACGAGATTGGTATGAGTACAAGTTTTCTGCAAATGAGGAGTTGTCTAATTAAATATGCACTAACTTGCATACAAAGAACAAAAATCTGAACATTGGATGAAGCCAAGTTATTTATTTTTTTCATTTTGTTGACATGTTAGAGTCAAATGTGTTTACAGAGAGGATCTTGGATATGAACAGCCATAAAAAAACATAAATAAAATGTAAAAAAAACCCGGCAAAGTTTGTAAAGTTTGGTGTGTGTAAGTGCTGCTGAAGTCAAGATTTTTAGCTTAGTGTGGGAGAAAAATCCCATTTTGAGAAAACGGCCTTTAAAGGTATGTATTGTAATTGAAATCTACAGACACAAATCTAAAAAGTCCTATAAAAGAAACACTTAACAGTGTATTTTGAATGTTTTCTTTCCACTAGCCTGAAAAATACTTTATGTAAAGCCAAAAAGCCCAAAATCTCAAAACCGACAGATGCATGAAAAACGTGTCTCACCTTAAAAGATTTTTAGCTTAGTGTGGGAGAAAAATCCCATTTTGAGAAAACGTCCTTTAAAGGTATGTATTGTAATTGAAATCTACAGACACAAATCTAAAAAGTCCTATAAAAGAAACACTTAAAAGTGTATTTTGAATGTTTTCTTTCCACTAGCCTGAAAAATACTTTATGTAAAGCCAAAAAGACCAAAATCTCAAAACCGACAGATGCATGAAAAACGTGTCTCACCTTAAAACCTTGTTATCCAAATGAATGAAAATTTGATATGCAATTGAAATACATACATTTAAATATAACTTAATATGCCATATTAATATGATAATAGGAATGGTCCAGTTTTGACCATCGTACCACTTGCACTGACTGTCACATGCTGCATAGATCCACGTGACTGTATTATGGGAAAGGGAGATATTTTCCATTGTGTTTGTCAGTAAATAATGTCATGTCTGTATTTGTTATGTAAAGTATCAGTTATCTGTCTTAAAATAATAAATGAATGTCATTTGTGCATACAATTGTGGTTTGAATGTACCACGAATGTCTCTGGCACTGTCTGCAGCAGGCAAGGGTTTCAGCCACAGTTCAGCAGAAATGGTTTTGGGGTGTTTGTTGTCGTCGAGGCGTTACATTAATTTCTTGTCAATTCACGAGCTAGCATAACCCTGCCATGGCTCTCGCTGACCATAGCTTGACCTTCTCCTGTTTACTTTGCATTGTGGGACATGATTACAGCATGTCCTGCATACCGATGGGCCAGACGGCTCTGTTTGTTCAACCATTTAACATTTTGCCCTGATGTTCTTTGTTGCTTTTCTTGTTTGACATAAATCATAATTGTAAATGCGCTGTTTAATCCTAGATGTCTTTTAGCTCACATAGACTTGCAAATGGAATGTCTCTTAGGATTAAGTAAGCAGGGATTTGTTCCATAATGTTGGTAAATCATTACCCTGTGCTGTTCATGGATCACAGTGAGATCTTTTTTTTTTCTGACACAAATTAAGCATTTGCTTTTTATCCCTATTGGGAAATTCAACAAAAAAAAACACTGCCAGAAGCGGCCAAGGTCAACCTGGTTGACCTTCTTGGTCAAGGTGGCTGGAGCTGATAGGCCATCTTGGACCAAAAACAAACCAGCCACCATGTTCTTAAACCATCTTTATCTCAAGGGTTCAGAATGGAAGCAATATGCAGTGAAAAAGAATCAAAAAGTCTCTTTTTAGAAGAAGGTTGGTGATTTGGTGTGACATGAGCAAAAACACCTACTGACATCCAACAGTTGAGACCTCTATTATTTAGAAGAAAGACAATCAAAATGTCTTCTACTCATTAAAGGGCATCAGTTTTAACTCCACATCTCCTGCCCGCCATTAAACACTTTCATTAAGTCTGATCAAATAGATTCCCCCCTGGAATGCAACATCTTGACATGTGCTCTGTTGTCAAGGCTGTACAGTTGGAAGAGGTCAAACTGACCCCCTCACATCTGCTGTTGGAGAACCGGCAAATCTGCACACATCCACCTCCATCTGCTGCCAGTCACAACCATGTTGAAGACAAATAATACTACTCTGGCAGTTTGTTCCTGGTCCGCATCCTACAATAACAACTGCACTGATTCTCCTGCTGCATTTCTTGCCACTTTTTCACTCAGCTCCATCTGTATGTAAGCATTGAGGAAATGGGGTCTAGACAGCCTCAGAATATCTGCAAGTTCTCAAAACTTCAACCTGGCCATCTTTAGCTATATCTGCTAGAATTATGGATGAGCTGGATTTATCAGCACAGCTTGACGTGGATAAGTCGGTGTTATAGGGTCTCCTGGTGTTGAAATACATATTAGACATTCCAGACTACATAGGGAAAGATCAACTGTCCAAACAAACCTTGACATTAATGTCTTTGTTGTTACTTTCCCAGTGAAAGAGTGGGAAAATGCATATATGTCAAAGTGAAACAGCCTTCAGATATAAAGGGATTTTATACATGATTGGGTTTGGATTTATTGAAACAGCAAAAGGGGCTTTCCAATTGCCTCTGCTGATGTGATCTTGAAGCCATTCGCTTTCAGAGGTTGTGACCCAGTTTGCATGCTGTCTGTTGTAAATAGTATGCACTGGTTGGAGCTGATACACGACCACAATAAACAAAGCAGCTACCATCTTCCTGAACCATCTTTATTTCAAGGGTTCAGAATAGCAGTGATTTGCAGTGAAGAAGCATCAAGAAGTCTCTTTTTTTTTTTTCAACGAACGTTTGTGATTTGAGGTGGCCTGAATGACATAATACTGGACAGGGATGCAACAAGTTTGCATTTAGTACACCTCACTTCATGTAATGTAAATTCTGTAAGTTTAGATGGTGTACTATTTCAAATGCATCCATGCATTCTTGTTCATATATCATTACCTACAACTTGTTGTGATATAGTAGAGGAGTTTGATGGTTCTCTTACGACATTGTTTATTAATAGCAAATAGCAGTGAGACCAAATCAGCCCCAGCAGTTTTTAATGCAGGAAAAATGTTAAAAGAATTGCATCAAACTAGGGGTGTGCGATATATATCGTCTGCAATAATATCGTAATTGTTGTTTTAACGATGTGCGATTTGACATTATCGAGTATTTTGCAAAAACCATTCTGTACAGAGCGCACGCATACATTACGTGAAGTCTAGACTAGTGCGTGTGTGCATTTAGTGTTTTCTTTCACTGCATGATTCAGTCTAATAAAATGCATTTAGAATGATCACAAATTCAAGACATGATGGCAGAAAATGTATATATTTATACCACTTAATATAGTTACTCAATTTCACACGAAGAGTGCCGTTTTTCTCAAAAAAATACCATGATTACAAATGTGACATTGAATTCAATAAACAATAAGTTAATTAAGAGACTTACGTTTTAGACACCATATTGCTTGTTTATATCGAGATATTTTTTGTCAATATCGCACACCCCTACATCAAACACAGTGTACAACAGAGGTTTGTGGAATTAAATATGTCCCAACACTAGCGTATTGTCTTTCTACATCCTCAAATGTATGTACTTTTTATCACCAGTGAAGCACATACTTTTAGTGCCTAGTAAAGTATGCTAATTGGGACACAGCCAGAATCTGTTCTTGCTTATTACGTTTGCCTCCGTCTTTCCATTGCTGCTGATTTTTCTCTTTCCCTCTTTCCATCTGCCGTTTCACTTATGATTGTGGTTTGGTTAACTGTAAGGAAACTAAGTAGCAAAGACAGTTTGTCATAACGTATGTTCAGAGGTTTTGAGAAGAAGACATTAGGATGGTAATTTAATCTGAGGTGTGAGCTGTACAGACCAATGGAAGGTGAGAAAAACGTCATGCATGGTGTGCAATCCACTAAGTTCTACATCCGTATGTGCAAATACAATAAATACAGCCTTCATAGCTTTAGCAGATGTCCTTTAGAGTCAGTAAGCAGCCCACAGGTGATCTGGTTTGCGTCGGAAAGCACAGAAAAACACTAGGGTCATGTTTTCAAAGTCTTGCTTTGCAATCTCTCTGTATGAGGCATACTGTATGTGTTGAGAACATTATGACCACTAAAAATGACAGATTGCTCCTAAAACCATTGGCAGCAGTGTGTTACTTTCCTGTTTTCACCACGCTTTTTTAATGGTCTCCTTTACACGGGCCGTACAGCCCAGTTGGTTTCATGAGCTGTGAGGACCCCAGCTCGGCTGATTTGACCTGTTATATAGACAGTAGCAGGCACTGTGTTTATCTTAGCAGGCTGCCAGAGTTCACATTGTGTTGCCCGCTGATCCATCATCTTGCTTACAGAAACTGGCAGCTGGCGTGGACCAGTTCGCCTACACCTGCATACAAGACCATCCCATCTGGACCAATCAGCAGTTCTGGGAGGCCACCTTCTACTCTGAGGTGCAAAACCAGATCAGAGCGCTTTACCTCACCGCCCCTGAGGAAAAACAACTCCTCACCGCCAAGATCAAGGTAAAGTCTTGAAATCGACTTTTTTGTTTGACTAATCCCTAAATTTATGAAATATGATTTATTTAAATTTTTTTAAATGCAATTAATTTAATGCAATGATATGAATACACATATTCTGTTTTTAATTTCTGAACTAAATTTTATTTTAAATTTTATTTTTAAATATATATTTTAAATTTAAATTTTGTCTTAAAATCTCAGATAATTTCACCTTTCATGACAAGACAAGGTTAGCTTTTTAAAGGGATAGTTCACCCAAAAATGAAAATGTGATGTTTATCTGCTTACCCCCAGGGCATCCAAGATGTAGGTGACTTTGTTTCTTCAGTAGAACACATTTGATGATTTTTAAGTCCAACCGTTGCAGTCTATCAGTCGTATAATGCATGGCAATGGTAACAAAATCTATGAGAGTAAAAAAAACATGCACAGACAAATCCAAATTAAACCCTGCGGCTCGTGACGACACATTGATGTCCTAAGACACGAAACGATCGGTTTGTGCCAGAAACCGAACAGTATTTCTATAATTTTTTACCTCTAATACACCACTATGTCCAACTGTCTTTGGACGCGCGCACACAGCATCCGGTGCATGAGGTGTGTACGCGCTCTGGCGTAGTTTACGTTAATGAGTGTGTTGATATCCAGCCGAAGAGCAATCAACCATAACTTCAGGGATATTTATGAATTATAATTTGTAGGTTTACTTAAAATAGGTTTTAAGAACATCAAAAACAATTGTGAAAACAATTAAGATTTAAGTATTTAAAGGGGTCATATGATGCGATTTCAAGTTTTCCTTTCTCTTTGGAGTGTTACAAGCTGATTGTCAAGTTAGACAAAACGCGGCTGGTTTTGATAGAGATCGACACAGAACTTAGCTAGCATTGACCCTGGCACAACTTCAGTAGAAAAGGGATATCATTTAACCCTGTTTCTCATCTCTTCATCTGACCATCTTTCTTCATCAGGAACAGAGTACACTGTCCACAGCATCCAGTGAGTCAGAACGAACCGCTATGGACCTCGCAGCAGAGCAGTTACGTGCTTGGCCCAGTCTCAGCAAAGAGAAGCAGCAGGAGCTGGTGAAGAACGAGGAGAGCACAGTGTTCAGCCAGGCCATTCACTACGCCAGCCTGATGGTCTACCTGCTCGTACCGCTGGACACCAGCAAAGTCAAGCTGCTGCGCTCCACACCTGCAGCCGACTGGGAGAGCGGCAGCAACAGCATCCTCACGAACAGGCAAGAGACTTCCTTCTACAATTCCTTGCAGAATATATGTTATTTACCATACATTCATGCATTTAGCACGTTTTTATCCGAAGCAACTTACATTTCATTCAAGGCACACATTTCTGCTTTCCTTGAGAATCGAACCCATGACATTGGCATTGCTACTGTTTGAGTTACTGGTTATCTCTGCTGTTTCACTTTACTGAATGCAGTTTTCCAACCACTTAAACTCGAAATAAAACATTTAATATGCCATTTTAGCTCAGAACATGCAAATAAAATAATACATTTAAAAGTTAAGTATGCTTCCTGCAAACTCATTTGCCTTACGATTGACCTCTACCTGCAAATCATTAAAATATCTTCCACATTTTCTCCACAAAGTTTAATGGATCATTGTGCAAGTTGTGAATCTGAAGTTAGAGCGAAAGGAAGAAAGGAAAAATGTGTGTTTCGGTGTCCAATTCAGGAAGTCCAAACCACTACAACAAACCTCCCACACACTGATTAATAAAGGTCGTCACTCAGAATTCTCTGTGCGATCAAGGAGAACCCACTTAGAGGTCAGTGATCATGTATGAAGGAGATTCAGTACAGATTAAAGATGCAGCAGCCCATATAATGTGAAGGATTATGAGGATGGAATGAAATAATCTCAAAAGGAACCGGGTGAAAGAAATTTACACTTTGTCAAAAGACTTAATATTAACTCATTATAGCAGAGATGTGGGAGAATATTTTGTGCTCAAATGAGATCTGAAATCTGAGCAAATGAATGCTGCCCCCAACTCATAAACACAATAAATATAGTGAAATATGTGGGCTATGTGCATTTAAAATTATAGTGCATAATATTAAGTAAAACCCCTAGGCTTTTTTTTTTTTTTGCCAATTATAAAACTTAGCCTACAGTATAAATCATTATGTGTGTTTAGATGTGGCTGCTTTATTCAGTGTCTGGACGATCTGGAGATAAACCACTGAAATCAATTACAGCTTTAATAATGGAGTTTGTGAAGAAGAACATTTTGTGGCACTATTTGAAAACTGTTGAACCAGTTTCATTTGACTAACTTGGAGCTAATCTGAGCAGAAGAGTCAGCCAAAGTGTTCAAATCAGAGATCATTTTGCCAAAGGTGGTTCTTAAAACTTTAAAAAATATTTCAAGCACAGTTTGCTTTATACCATTACATAATCATTTGAAAATAATTAAAATCGGTTTCATTGCTTTGAAATAAAAATGTCACAGAGAAGCAAAATTTCAATGTGTCATTTGTAGTCCTGTAAAGTAAGAGAACTGGTTATGGCTCTAAACACTTTTGCAGGTCAGTGGTGCTCCAGTACATCTGGCATACATCAGATCAGTTCAAATGGAAAAGACGCACAGCAGGGGCTGAAGGTTGTCTTTTCACCTTGGTTACGAAACACACATTCCAATATAAATCAGCTTGATTGTTTCTCAGCGTCTTCAGCAGAAAACTATACAGTTGATTCAGTCAGTGAGCAAGAATGTAAATAGAAGTAGCCTGGTGTAGTTCCTCAAGAGTCCTATCCAGTTATACACCACATCCTTCTCAGCCCCTCCGGTAGCCGGGGTGCTGCTCTGCTTCAGCAGAACCATGAAATGAGTTGGCCGTTTGTGGAGGGAGCACTCAGCCATAACCAAAAAAAGATGGAGGGATCGCGATGTAGAGCTTTGTAGTAATAATAATATGTGTGAGTTTTGGGAGGCTTCATAGTCAAAACAGGTGATGTTTGGCCAAATGCATGTCTCTAGAGTTGATCTTTCCCTCCTCCTGTCCTTTTCTCTTCCTCTCAGAAAATGTTCAAGGCCAATAACGGCACACTGAGAGTTTTAAGTGCTAGTCTCAGATGTCACGTTTTCTTTCTCCTCACTAATTTTTAATTAGTGGTGTTTGATATGGCAAGCATAACATTTTAGTTTCACTTGCACCTAGGATTAGGGAATTTTGTAAATGACTCCTCAAATTATGTCTTTTGTTGAGAAGTATGCTATTACTTTACCATTTTCACCTGCCAGACAATAAAATAGGAAAAAATCCTTTAAGGCAGGAATCCACTAACTTTTTTGTCAGCCAAACTGCTGAGACATAAAATATTTATTTGAAATAAGAGATTTGAATTTAATATTTCAACACATAGGCATTTTCACTGTTCTCTGATGTTGATCATATAAAAAAAAATGAATATTATTTATTTATTTATTAGAAGTAGAAGTAGTGTTTTAACTGTAATTATAACATAAAGACGGTAAAGACAGTAATATATTACTGTTGTAAATTACAAATGTACCGTAAAATAAAAAACAAATATATGATTATAAGACTATACAGTTATTTAACTAAAATGAAGCATTTGATTTGACAACCACACTCAGCTATATCATGATTATTGTGCAGCCCCATATATTTATTTTAATTTTACATTCAATATAATTAATAATTAGCTTTTCATCAACTCAAACTCCCGTTTGGGAAACCCTGCTTTAAGGCCCTAATATATTTAATTTTCAGTGTCCACTCCGTCTCACACACAGTTATGTGCGCAATCCTTTTAAAATATACTCCACTGATTGTGATCGTATGAACGCGTTCAGCATCACTGTGCTGATAATGAAAATTGCGTCACGCTCATTGTACGAGAGCTGGAGCTGAAAACAGACAATGGATGTATACTTTTGGCTTTTGGAAGAACCCGAGATTTGGGGTTTTGACCCAGATCCATGTACGGTTCTGCAAGAGTGAACACAAATCAGATTTTCTTAATAAAATGTAATAATCTCATTCAAGATTTGTTAATGAAAAGTTCTTCTGCAAAAGTTGCATTGATTGGGGAAAATCCGTATTGCCTAGTTTTACTATAGACTTGATTTATTTTCTGCCTGAAATGTCAGGAACTGCTCTCTCTATTTGTAAACAGAGTTAGGGAATTACATCACTTTTCCACCAGCACAATGTGCACTAAGACCAGGAGATATCAGAGCCGTCCGCTTCCTAACCGTGGTATTTCAGACCAATTGTGTGCAACAGACTAAACAGACATTGAATTGTGATGGGTCGGTAAACTAAAGTAGCAGAGTTACATCAAAGCTTTTTAAATAGCTCTGTGTTATTTTAAGAATATTGAGAGTAACATTGCTGTTGTTGGTTGTGTTGTGTTGTGTTTAAGTCTGCAATATAACTAGTGTTGTGCAATAAACAGTATTGCAGGGAGTGTGGCCGAGAGCTTTGACACTGAGAGCGGATTTGAAGACTCTGAGACCAGTGATGTTGCCAACTCTGTGGGGAGATTCATCTCTCGTTTCATTGACAAAGTGTGCACAGAGAGTGGAGTGACACAGGATCATATCAAGGGTCTGCATAGTATGATTCCAGGTAAAACACTGTGTGCACACTCACTCAACACAGAGTGTTTATACTTTTATTACACCTGTCTAAGTACTGAAACATTTTGACAGCTGTACACAGACATGAACTTGCATAATATATAATGTATATTTTTGTATATTTTCAAAGGTTGTAAGTGCTCACCATTTTTACTAGTTGATTTCAGTAGTCCTCTCTTGTGAGAAATGAGTTTATTGCTTCACAAATACTCTTTGTGGTCAGAACTGCATGGAAAATAATTATTGTACATTATTTTAAAAATGCAATTCAAAGTAGATGGACTCACTCTGAAGGACAATTCAATATATTAAGCGGTTTTGGTAGGAAAATTAAACTGAAATGGATAGTACTGTGACCCAGTGACCCTAACCTGTCCACAAAGTTTCCTGAATCAGGTATTTATCTGTTTCTTCAGGTCTTGTGGCAATGCAGATGGAGACTTTAGAAACGGTTCATAGAGAAAGCAGAAGACTGCCTCCCATTCAGAAGGTAAGAACTTGCTCTCCACTAGTGAAAGCTATTTCAAAGCTTGTATGTCATTGGGTTTGTTGTGCTACCATTTTGTCAGAATTATTAAAGTAGCGGCACTCACTTAAAGGGGTCATATGATGCTGCTAAAAAGAACATTATTTGAGTTTGTTCTTTTAATGAATTGGTCAAAATGACTCAAGAGTCAAACATTAATGGATTAAATCATTCTAACGACTCTTCAACTGAAAGGAACAGTTCACCCAAAAATGTAAATTTGCTGAAACTTTACTCACCCTCAGGCCATCCAAGATGTAGATGAGCTTGTTTCTTTATCACAACAAATTTAGAGAAATGTAGTATTACCAAAGTCCCTTTAAGGCAAGTCGTGTCACTCAGCGGCCATCTTTGGAACACCTCTCAGGCATGCAAGTGCAGCTCCTATCTCTTTGAATGGGGAAACATCAAATTCTCCAAAACTGTTCGCCAAGCTTACGATAACCAATGAAATCTGACAACTGTATCATAAACGTTGTTTATTTTGCTCAAATAGCGTTATTTTTCAGGCTAGACCAGCCAGTGCGCATGTGCAGTCCTAGGCGCATGTCTCAGAACGCTTACTGTTTCTATAGCAACCAGAACTTCTACAGTGACGCGCTGACTTTACCAATTAGGGATTGGTTCTTTTGCTCAGAAGGCGGGGCTTCATTCGATAGAGTGGCCATATTGAGTGTTTAATTTTTCCCCATTCAAAACTATACGAGTGACACGTCTTGGGTATTCTATATTATTTGGTATTACGTCACTTGTTCACCAGTAGATTCTCTGCAGTGAATGGGTGCCATCAGAATGAGAGTCTAAACAGCTGATAAAAACATCAAAATAATCCAAAAGTAATCCAAGTACACATGGAGACGCATTTAGCTGTATAAGGAAAATGTTTGTATCGTATCGGCGTTTCGTCCAGACAGATCTGGCATTTTGGGAGCCTGAAACCGCGTCCCAGAGTGAATGAATCTGAAAACGACACCCTTGCTTTTCGTGTGTACAGCCAATCCGTATATTTTGTGAAACGATGATGTCATCACCCCACGTGTATACAGTGCGCAAGGTTTATGGCATGCTCCAAGTCTTGTTCGCCATTTTTAGTGTATCTCTGTGGCAGAATTACAGCGCCACATACTGGTCTGGCATGTATACTACATTGTTTTGAGTCGGTTTCAGTGGTTTTGTGTGTATGCAGATATTTTTGAGAAGACGCTGTGTTTACGGATTTCTTTTTAGAACGAAGAAAAAAAGATCGGATGGGGAAAGCTGGCTTCGTGTGGATGAGCCCCAAGTAACTGCAGTCTGTCAATTAATGTCTTGTGAAGTGAAAAGCTGCATGTTTGTGTGAAATCAATCCATCAAGATGTTTTTGTTCTTTTACTTCAAACTGTTGATTCCAGCTAAAATAGGAGTCCCCTATACATAATATTGCTTTTCCCAGTCATCTCGTCTGAATCAGGAGAGAAATATGCACAGATCAAGTATTGCTTACAAGCAAAAACAGTCCAAATCAGTTCTTAACAAATATGAACAACAGGGGATGTGTACAAGGTTTGTGAAACTTGCTGACTAGTTCTCCATGAGATGATGTGTAGTTAAAGATACACATTTTTGCAACAGTTTTTTGTATTATAAGATATAAATCTATTATTTAAAACATTAAAATGCATCAAAAACTTTGACTTCAGTGAAAACCTAAAATCGTGTGTAGTCAAAGCTGATGATAAATGGAGACACTTCTAAGCTGCTTTGGTTGAAGAGGGAATTCTAGCCTGGATAAAGTCCTGGTTTCTGTACAGGACCAAGTTAGTTTTTCGGAAGAATTAGTGTTTATTAGTGTGCAAATCCAGAGAAGTAACTGATGGAGAACCCAACTGGCATCCCCAGTGTGAGGTGGACTGTTCTTCTAATACCGCAGATTTCCACATAACAAATACTTGCTGTAGTTCCCAATTTTATTTTATTTTTTTTAATCGGCTGTTTCAGTTCTTGTCACCCTTCTGGATCCAACTAATGAGCTAGATAATGACACCAGGACAGGGCCAGGACAGAACACGCTTTCTGGACAATGTAAAAATTGATTGGTTGTGTCTCTGGTGGTAAACAGACAAGGCTTGAGTGTGATTACTGTGCCTGGAACTAAACCTAATAAATGATGCTTACTCCATCATAAAGAGAATCGTTTGTTGTCTGTCAAAAAGCAGACCACAAAGACTTGGCTTTTTTTCTGGTCCAAACTGAATAACAGTGTAATCTTATATTTCTGTTTAGGAGAAAGATAGTGAACAATCATCTCCGTATCAAAGCATTTGCTCCTGGTCTTCAGCAGACTCTAATGACAATGATTTTTCCCAGCCCAAGATCCTGCGGCCTGCCCTGCTACCCGGAGAGGAGCTGGTGTCCGAGGGGCTACGGGTGGTCTTGGACCCTGATGGTCGAGAAGAGGCCACCGGAGGGCTTCTGGGAGGGCCACACATCCTGCCAGCAGAGGGAGCACTCTTCCTCACCACTTACCGTATCGTTTTCAAAGGCACTCCTCATGACCCACTAGGTAAAGACAATTTTGTGACTTTACGGAATTCTTTCTTGAATTTTGTGATCTATTTTCCCGAATATCAGAATGATTGCATATGTGACACTGATTTTATACAACAGTTCAATCAGCAGGTAGTTAATATTAGACATTTTAGAAACAATATTGTCTGCTGAAAATAGTTCCAATCAAAGATTTCAACAGAACAGTTGTGCTTCATTTAGAAACCCACAGTGTTTTGTTACTAAATGATTCAGTGTTATTTAACTAATCAGGTGGTCAATGATTCAATGACCCATACGTATAGAATGCTATTTGCTTCATTTTGAATCAGCTGTTTTAATGAATAATTTGAAAGAATGACTCATTAGCCGCATTTCCACTGTCGGGCCAGTGCTTTAAACAGACCAGTCGGGGCCAATAGCCTCGGACCTGTAGCACCGAGCCCAAAATCACAATGCGTTTCCACCGTCGGGCCAGAAGCTCCGCTGCACTTCACTAAAACCCGCCCTTTACACGCCTCTCTGGAACAACGTCACACAACCCCATCATTTCACCAACAAAGAGAAATTATCAGAAAACTAAGAAATAAGTCACTGGAACTATTGCGATCACAAAACGAACATGATAAAAACAGCCGTTTGTTTGCATGTTTTGTTAAAGATTTAAATCCAAAAGCATCAATGTTTTACAATAATAAGTCATACATTGATCATAATGAATTAATTTATCAGGATTGAAAATTAGTCACACAGAAATAAAGTGGTATGAACTACTATTTAACAAAAGAAAGAGGACAAATACCCTACTTATTCAGTTGAGTCTGTTTCTGTTTATTTGTAGTCACAGTAGCTATACATCACATTTAGAAAGAATGATTATTTCTATATTGTTTTCTCCATCAAAAATACGACCTGATTAGCAGAGGGAGCTCCCAAACAGAAACCATTATTATATTTTTATGACATACGTGGAGCGTAGACAAGACAAGACTTATGACAGATAAAATATGTTACTAAATAAATACACGATTGTGATAGAGAATGAGAAGCTGACGTCTGATTTCTTCAAGCGGTCGTATTTACCATGTTTACTATGGTAACGTTAATGGCTAGCGTGCATAGTCTTTTGCATCGCTTATAAATATTTCTGCCTTGTATGGTGATCATAATCCACATCGGATCAAGTTATTTCAAACACTCGCTGCTATCTTAAAGTGAGTTTTAAGCTAAAATCAAAAAGCCACAGCCATATCACCCTGCAGCCCAAGACTGGTTGCCCACTGAAGCTAAGCAGGGTTGAGCCTGGTCAGTACCTGGATGGGAGACCTCCTGGGAAAACTAGGTTGCATGAAATGATCCGCGGCGCTGACGCTCTCCTGACGCGGAGAAACTCCGCCTTTGTTCATTACCACTCCTCTAGCCCCAGTTGGCCCGCTTTGGCCCAAGGTTTTCGTTGGGCCAAAAACCCTGGCCGTTGGCTGCAAGGAAGCACTGACGAGGCACAATCAAGTCCCGAAAGTGACAGTGGAAACGTGACTGGCCCTGGCACGCACTAGCATGCCCGCTTTTGGCCCGACAGTGGAAACGCGGCTATTGACTGACTTAAGAAAGTCACTTGCCACCACCTACTGGTGGTGTAGTTTCATATGTAAAAGTATCATTGTGTTTTTACCAACATTCCATATTAGTACATTTAAAAAAATATTATTTGAAACATGAATCTTGTAACTTTATGTATGCAGTGTAAATGCATTCATGGTACCTCTGAGCTTCATAGAGTGCATCTCATACATTTAGTGTGTGCATGTTCTGGTTACCTGGACTTTCAATGGAGGAACAGAAACCCTCTCAGGTTTCATTAAAAATATCTTAGTTTTTGTTAGATTAGCCTAAGTCTTTTGGGTTTGGAACAACATGAGCGTAAGTAAATTATAAAAGAATTACATTTTTAGGATGAACTATCCTTTTAACAATGCCCAAGCCATATATGCATTTATGCACATTCAAACTTGCCGCCACAAACCGCATCACACCAGGTTTGACATCAATCCAAGTTTGTTCTAAATGCATTTCAATCTTTTAAATTGAATTCATATGGGATTGCAACAACAAAGAGCGAGTAGGTGGTGAAAGAACTTTGTTTGAAAGAGGTTAGAGAGTTTACTGTTCTATATTTAGATAGTTTTACCCTGCTGTAATGATGTTTATGTTTGTGTCTGTGTGTGCGCAGTTGGCGAACAGGCAGTGATCAGGAGTTTTCCAGTATCCACTTTAACCAAGGAGAAAAAAATCACCATTCAGAACCAGCTACAGCAAAACATGCAGGAGGGGCTTCAGCTAAGATCCGCCTCCTTCCAGGTATTGACGCATAGAATACGCAGCCAGTAAATAGATAGTGTTTTTGTTCATGTATTTTTATTTGAAATACAAATGTTTGCATATTTCCCAATAGTTCTTCTTAACCCTTGACATGACAAAGTTTACCCCTAACACGGGGCAAGTTAATTTTAAGTGGTTAGCTTTCCTAATTGCCTGTATTTTGGTTTTGAACCTACAACTACTCTGTTGTGCCTCACCGTCTGTTTTTATCAGAAAGCCATTCCGATTTCAGTGAACCAGATGCAATCTATTGTAAAGCACTTTTTTATTAGAGCACTTATTTAGAAAAGCCTCTTTAGGAATAATTTGATTAAACTGATGTTTGCTGAAGAGGAATGTGCACGTTTCAGACGTCTCTCTCTGTTTGACTCATTATCACGAAGTCTCTTCATGGATGAGGACAGAGCAAGAGAAGCACATGTTGTGTTCTTCACTATGCATGGACTATAGGGCCATAAAGATTTTATGGCTCATTCCTATCGTTTTACTAACTTAAGCTATAAAATCAGGCCCTGTATGGAAGCGAGGGTCATTTGTGCTGGTCTGCCCACGTGTGGCTGCCAACAGTTGGTGTCTGGGGTACATTATCAGGTGCTGATTAAGACCTGCAGTCCACGTGAGCGTTAAGGTCAGACCCCTGAGAAGCAGAGATAGAGGAGTGCTGGAGAGGTGGAGATGGGATATGGGGTCACGCAGACAAGCATTTGTGCGGCCAAACCTCATTTTGGAATGTTCTCCCCAGAAAAGTGGGAAAAGATCTTGTTCCATACTGCTATCCAGCTCAGAGCACTTCTGCAAGTCATTTCTCTTGCCCCCCAAAAGTTTAAAATGATTATTTGCAGATTTTCTTGCTTCATGAAGGTGTGGCAGCTCTATTAGTTACATCACTCTGGTATAATATGGTAGTTGGACAACTGGTCTGACTGTATCTCCTGCTTTGTTTTAGCTAATTAAGGTGGCGTTTGATGAGGAGGTGAGCTCTGAGATGGTAGAGATCTTCAGGAAACACCTGCAACGGATCCGCTACCCACCATCCATCTTCAGCACCTTTGCCTTTGCAGCAGGACAGACAGCACCACAGCTCATATTACCCAAGCAGAAAGAGAGAAACACGGGCTTCCGGTCAGTGCAATGTTTTACAGAGCGGACATAATGGAAATTTAGGATGCAGTGTTGAGTTGGGTTGTTCCTTTTATTGCTATTTTTGAGGATGCAACAACAACATTCCAGCAATGCTTCACCCAAAACCTTTGATTGTATCATTATTTACCTACCCTCATGTCAATTCAAACTCATATGATTTTCTTTCTCCAGTGGAAATGGAGGTGAAAGAGGACTGAGGTTATCAAGCTTTAAAAAGGATGCACCATAAAATTAGTCCGTGCTAATCTGCACTATATTCCAAGTTTTCAGAAGGCACACAAAACTTATGATCTTCTTTCCATCATCACAATATCTTGAGTCAAGCTCAATTTGAGAACTAGATCAGTCCAATTCATCAACAAACCATTCAGACTAGTTTTGCAAACTGTATAATAACAGATTCATTGATTTCAAAATCAGACTCAAAAGAATGTCACATTAATTAATTAGACATCACTACTATTAATTATTTTGAAAACACCAAGAAGTTTTAAATATGGATGTTTTCTTACACAAATGCATCGATTCGCTTCTGAAGGCCTTTATTAACCCCCAGAGCCATGTGGAGCACTTTTTATGATGGATGGATGCACTTTTTTGGCCTTCAAAATCTCAACCACCATTCACTTCCATTATAAAGCTTGGAAGAGCCAGGATATTTTTTAATATAACTCCGATTGTATTCGTCTGAACGATGAAAGTCATGTACACCTAGGATGGCTTGAGGTAGAGTAAATCATGGGATAATTTTCATTTTTGGGTGAACAATCTCTTTAATTTTCCATCAGTTCTTCACACAAAGCTGTTGTATGGCTTCAGCAGACTCGGAATATAGCACACACTTCATATGGACTATATTTTTCTGTCATTTTTGGAGCTTGACCCCAGTGCTTATTCACTTTCATTATATTTAAAAGAGTGGCCAAGATGTTGTTAAATTGTCCTTTTGTGTTCCATGGAAGAAAATAAGTCATAAAGCTTTGGAACAAAATGAGGGTGAGCAAATAATGACAGAATTTTGGATGTATTGTTCAATTAAATGAAAATCTGTTTCTTGTAGAACACTATCGAAGACCATTGTGAAAGGGGCTAAAAGGGCAGGCAAGATCACAATGGGCCGCCAGTCCACTATGAAGAAAAACGAAAAGGGCAGTCGCATGACGTGGCATGAGCATGATGACATCTCCAGTAAGTATATTTCACAATGTCAGAAAAATATTCTGTGTCAGCAGTCATGGCCCTTCAGCTGTGGGATGTTAATGTTTCAGTCTCAGATGATGGTGAGCCCCCCACCAGCAGCACACTGAAGGCCTCAGAGAAGTCCACTATGGAGCAGTTAGTGGAGCGAGCCTGTTTCCGTGACTATCAGAGGCTGGGCTTGGGTACCATTAGCGCTAGTTCCACACGGTCTAAAAGCGGAGAGCAGTTCCGAGTTACGGCAGTCAACAGGCTCTACTCGTTGTGTCGCAGGCAAGTTGCAACCCAACACCTTGACTTTGTTCAAAAACCTAGTGAGCAGCATTGCTGCCTACAACTCTGCAAACTGCATAAATAGTGCTCTTCACTCCACTTTTTTGTGTGCAATGCTCACATCTGAAAATTCAAGCAACAGCCAACTGTTTTGCTCGGATGTACATCTCAATATGGAAGAAAGGCTCTGTTGATACTTCCATTTCATTTCAACTTCTAAGTGCTCTCAATGTATATAGGTGGGTAGCTCACTAGGTTTTAGAACAGAGTCCCTATGAAAGGAATCCCTCCGCTACAACTGCTCAATCATAAGTGTTTTTCTAAATGGTGATAATATTCGGTTTACAGTTACCCGGGTCTCCTGGTGGTGCCTCAAACCGTTCAGGACAGCAGCCTCCATAAGTTGTCACGCTGCTACCGGCACAACCGTCTGCCAGTCATGTGTTGGAAACACCCTCGCACCAAAGCGGTTTTACTTCGTTCGGGTGGTTTTCACAGCAAGAGTGTGGTTGGACTTTTCAAGTCTCAGAACCCTTCTTCAGCAGGTACGTTTGTACAGTTAAATATGCATATTACATCAAGCAACCTTGGGGATGGTTTACAATCAGACAGGGCTGTAAATATTTGCTCTAAGATTATAATTCTGATAAAAGATTTGTCTCAGCCTGAGTCAGCTTGCTATTCACTGACTATCAAATGCATGTTGCAAACACTGGGCAGTGATTCCTTAATCTGGCATGCTCTAATCTTGATTGGATGACTTCATGCAACTTTCGGGAATATAAGAACACAATATTTTTGTTTATAAAGTACCAGTTTGATACAACAAGCACTTTTGAAGATGAAATAATCTCTTGATTTGACAAAGGTAGGTACCACAGCATTAGTTAAATATTTTTCATGGCTGTCTATTATTTTCAGAAAAACTCGCTCCTAAACGAAACGTAAAGAAAACAAACTGTGGTGGGTCATTTTGTAATGTCTGAGTCAGTGTCTTCCTGTCGTAGGTGGTTTTTGGCCAGAATAAGCTGCAATGTGGCCCAGACCTTTGGCCATTTAGTCCTGTTCTCAACATTTTTGACACGATGCCCCTGATTGTTCAACATAATATTCTAAATATTGGTGCCATAAGATATTTCCTCTAGGATTTCTGCTGTAATTATGACACATCTGCTTGTTTTCAAAACACTTTTTTTATTACCAGAAACTAGGAGTATTGATGTATTTGTTTAAACATGATTTGTTTTGTGATTCTATTTGTTTTGTATGTTTTCCAATACAAATAAGTTATTGAAGGAGGAAACTATTTCTGTTTACATCTTGATTTTGTGTGTGCATCTGTGTATGTGTTTTAATTGTTTTAAAATATTATTAATTTTAATACCTATTGTGATATGCTTGGACATTTTCTTTGGCCCCCTAGTTGACTAATTTACTCAAAGGTCTGGCTATGTGAGATTTTCAAGAGAGAAACGATTGTTCTAATGATGCTCTCTTGCTGTTACCAGCTCCGACTTCCTCAGAGACCTCCAGCAGTCTGGAACA